CGGTACCGGGTCTGGTGGTGGTATCGGCCTCACGATGGGTAGCGTTGGCGGCGCGGTGAACCTGAACCTTCGCCTGACCGCGCTCGAGTCCGCTGGACACGCACGCATCGTCTCCTCGCCAAAGATCCTCACGCTGGACAACCGCGAGGCGACCATCTCGCAAGGTACCAGCATCCCGATCAGCGTCGTCAGCGCCGCGGGTGTGCAGACGGTCTTCGTGGAAGCAGTCCTCGAGCTGCGCGTCACGCCTCACGTGACGCCTGATGGAAACATCCAGCTCCAGATCGCGGCCAGCAAGAACGAGCCTGACTTCCAGAACACGGGTGCTCGTGGTGACCCCACCATCATCCGTCGCCAGGCAGAGACCGAGCTCCTCATCAAGGATGGCGACACGACGGTCATCGGCGGTATCTACACGAGAAACGCTGGTTCTAACCTGTCCGCTGTGCCCTTCTTCCATAAGATCCCGATTCTCGGTATATTCTTTAGAACGAGCATCGAGAACGAGCGCCGTGGCGAGTTGCTGATTTTCATCACCCCACGCATCGTTAACCGCGCAGAAGCACTCGGCGCTGTCTCCACCGGAACGGTCCAGGGCGGTGGTCCTGCCGCAGGTGGCGGCGGAGCAGAAGCGACCACTGGTGGAAACTGAACGGCTCCTGCGGTGTATCCTTTGATGGAATCACCGCGAATCGACTTCACTTCGGTGCATGAGCACGCTCCGGGCGTTTGACCCGGCGCAGAAAGACAGCAGGAGAACACGATGCGCTCGACGCGAAACACATACATTCTTTCCATGGCGGGTCTCCTGGCCATCGCCGCGCTCAACACGGGCTGCGTCGAGGCCGACCCCTCCCTGATCCTCGAAGGCGGGATCGTCGGGGAGCTCAGTGAAGCCGATCCTGTGACCTGCTCGGCGGGCTGCGAGTTCGCGCTCACCGGCGGCGCTGGCGTCACCGCGCTGAGCACATCCGGTTTCCTCGACCTCGCGCGCCTCGAGCAGTACGGGCAGTTCCCCTACAGGGTTCCTGGCTCCTACACGCTGCGCGTGAACCTGACCAACATCCTCGGTGATAGCACCACCAACGATGGCGCGGGTCTCCGCAATGACTCCAACAGCATCAAGCTCAAGGAGTTCACCATCGTCTGGAAGAAGCCTGACGGCACCATCATCTACGAGCCGGGCGAGCAAAACAGCGGCGGCTCTCGCCCCGCGTTCGCCTACATCGGCAGCGGTGGTGGTCAGCTCAGCATCGACGTCGATCTCTTGAGCGGTGTCATCTTCCCCGATGGCATGAACCCCGAGACGACCTTCCTCCGCGGTGGCCTCGTCAGCAACTTTGGCAACGCCATCAACACCTCGCCGAGCCAGGTCTTCGTCGAGATCCAGGCAAAGGGCGAGACGCTCGATGGCCAGAACGTCGAGTCCGAGGTCATGGTCTACCCCATCAGCGTTTGTGATGGCTGCGGCGTCTTCGACCGCACGCTCTCCTTCTGCTGCGATAACCCCGACTCTCCTGACACCTCGGGGTGCCCGACCTTCGGCGCGCCTCCCATGTGTCTCCCTGGCGACTGATCGCGCATAGAGAGTCCGAGAGCACGTAAAAAGGAGCCCGAGTGATTTTCACTCGGGCTCCTTTTTTACGTGCTCTCGGACTCGCTCCCTTCAAGGCTCCCGCGGCGCGTCGATGCTGATGAACGCGGTAAGATAAGGGGACTTCGGAGGAGGCTAGAGTGCCTCAGCGCGAGCGATTCGAGCGCGCTCGATAGCTTTGCCCAACGCATCTGTGTGCGTTTGCCCCATCGGCGTCTCTGACATATCCAGGTAGGTCAGCTGTGGGAACCAGCTCGACGAGACGAAGACCTCGCGATGTTCGCGCTCGGTCAGGTCGAGCCAGTAATAGAGCTCTCTTGTTTGCTTTGCGGTGAGCGAGGGTTTGCTCAGGTATTCGCGCACCAGGCCAAAACGCCTGGGGAGCGACAGTCCGATCTCCATGCTCGACATACGGTGCCTCCGCACCTCTGGTGTCTGGAGTTATCCTCGCTTCTGACGTCGCCAGATGGCAAACAGCCCGAACAGCGCGACCAGGAGCGCGCCCCTTGGAGTTCCCGAGGGGAGGGCACCCTGGGCACATCCTCCTTCGATCCCCGGTGATTCGGTCACCAGCGGTCCGAGTTGTGCCTGACCGTTCGCGCCGCCCGGCGTTGTCTGGCCGTTGCCTCCCATATCCACAGGAGGCGTCGTGTTGTTGCCGGATGGCGTCGTGTTGTTCGGAGCGGGCGTGTTGTTGTTTGGCGTCGCGTTATTTGGCGGCGAGTCGTTGTTTCCAGGAGGCGTCGTGTTGTTACCCGGTGGCATCTGGCCTGTGGGCACGAGCTGGAGGCTCGCCCAGTTCGCTTCTCCTGGGATGAGCTCCTTGTCGCGCGTGGCGACCTCGTAGCCCGGCGCGCTGACCGTCAGCGAGACCGTGCCCAGGTCGAGCGGGACCATGCTGAACGAGTACAGCCCGCTCTCGTTGCTCGTGGTCGTGGCGCCATTGCTCAGTGTGACCGTCAGCCCTGGCAAGCTCGTGCCGACGACATCGTTGGCATCCGTGTAGAGGTAGCCCTTGAGCTCGACGCTGGTCGCAGGTGGCTCCTGGTCATCCATCAGGTCGCGGATCTCGAGGTTGGGCTGATAGTGGTCGAGCATCCACAGGTAGTCTTTTCCGTCCTCTCCCCAGGACGCCGAACCCCACTGACAGATGCCACGCACGAGGCAGCGATCATCTCCCGGGACGTGGGGGTTATCCTCGTGGGCCGCGCAACCATTGTGTCCACACCAGCTCCCCACGCACGATGAGACAGATGGGTTGTCGGGGACGAGCGCGTTCTTCGACCCGTACTCGGGCAAGGTGCCGTGTTTGCCACAGGACGCCGCGTACTCGAGCTTGTCGAGCGTGTTGCGGTCTCCCTTCTTGACGAGGATCTTGTTGGCGACAGCGTTCGCGGAGCTCGTCGTGATGTCGAGGCGCTGATCGCTGTAGCGCTGGTTGCACGCCGTGTCATCGATGTGAAACCAGGTGAAGTTGTTTGGCGGCAGCGCGCTGGTGTTGCGGCGGTTGCTTGCGTCATAGGTGAACATGAACCAGAGGCCGTAGGACTTTGCCGCGATGGCGAACTCCTTGTAGACCTCTGCCGCGCCAGGGATGCTGCGGAAGACCCCGATCTCTGGTGGGAGCACGCCCTTGACGTACTCGTCGATGTCCATCTCCTCGATGGCGATCACGGGGTTGTCGCGACAGCCTTCCTCAGGGCTTTGCCTGCGGCCGACGCGGATCTTTCTGGGGATCGGCTCGGTGACTGTCAGCGCCGCAGGGTTTGGCGTCGGCAGCTTGATCGAATCGGGAGCATCCGAGGGGAGCTGCCCGGAACCTGCTGGCAATCCTGGCGAGCCTGGAACGCGCGGGACGCCCATGTCCAGGAAGTAACTCGTGAAGACGTGCGCGCTCGCATTCTTGAACTGCGGCACGTACTGGTTGACCATGCGCGAGCGTTGCACTTCGCCGCCGACGTTGGCCACGAGCTCGAGCTCGTACTTGCCATGCGGCAGGTCGAACGCGTAGCGCCCCTGCGCATCGGTGGTGACCTCGAGGTTGGTGCCCATCACGCGCACCACGGCGCCCTCGATCGGGATGCCCGTGGCGGCGTCTGTGAGGCTACCCTCGAGAGGATCGGCCATGGCCGATCCTGCCGTGAGCAGGATGCAAGTCATCAGGGCGAGGGCTGTCAAAAGCCCGCCGGTCTTTCTCTTTCTCATCACGCGCATGTCCTGAAAACTCCATCGTTTCATCGCCATCTCTCGATGCTCAAACTCTAGCGCGCGGTCAGCCTCGGAGCAAGACGACTTGCTGCGCGAAGGTTGCATCGCTCGCCATCTTGAGTTGGCCGAGCTCGTCGACGAGCACCTCGAGCGCCTGCGCGAACCAACGCTCGAACAGCAGGTCCGTTCCGCCCGGCAAGAATGGTCCCAACGCCTCGAACGCGCCCGAGAAGTGCTCGCGCAACGAGCTCTTCTCCCACTCCTTGTCGCGCAACGCGACGAGCAGCGCGCCGACCTCTTCGCGATCGAGCGCCTGCACGCCATCTTGCTTATCGATGAGCAGACGCGCGACCCAGGTGCGAAACAGCGTGTCGAAGGTCACGTCGATCGGATCATTGAGCAGGGAGTCGTCCGTGGCGCGCGCGATCAGATCGGCGACCTGCAATCGCAACAGCCCGAAGACCCAAAGCTGCTTGAACGCGATCATCCCCAGGCGCATCGCCGCGTCATCGAGCTGGTGTTGATGCTCGAAGATCATATGCGTGTAGGCATCCTCGGCATACGTCGGGCGCTGCCTCGAGAGGCCCTCGAGCAGCGCCGCGTCATCCTCGCCGAGCAACGAGTAGGGCAACCCCTCGATCAATGTCAGCGTGGGGCGACGCTCGAGCTGTTGCACCTGGCGCTGGAGCTGCGCGGTCAGCGTGTAACCGGCGCGGAAGATGTCCTTGAGCGAGACGCGCTCGAGGATCTCGTCCTGCTGATTTTGCTGCCCTCGGGTCACGAACTCGAGCCCGAGCCCCATGTAACCGAGCGCGCGACGCATCACCTGACGCCCCGAGTTGAGCTCTCCTGGCTCGATGCCATCGGCGAGCATCACCTTGTTGATCAGCGCGCTGAGTTCGAAGAAACGCGCGAGCCTGCGCTCTTCATCGGGGATGCGCATCAGGACGCGGATGATCAACGCGTCCTCTTCCATCTCGCTCGACATCACGCTCGGAAGATCGAGCGTCTCGCCAGGGGCGCGAACGCGAACCTGGGCGGCGTCCTCCTTCTCGATGCGCTCGCGCAGTTTGTCCGGGAAGAGCGGCGTGTAGACCGACATCGCCTCGTCGCGTGAGACAAACCCGAACTCCTCGAGGCGGCTCGTGCGCCAACGCAGCGCGAACTCCTCCATCTCCGTGGGGAGCTCCCATCGCACTGCCTCGAGCAGCGTCCAGGCCAGCACGCGGTCGAGCTCGTAGAGCCTGTCGATGAGCTTGCGCATCAGCGCGGCCAGTGATTCATCCTCCGGGTACACGATCGCGTAGACGCCATCCGGGCTCGTCACCGCGCGATCTGGAGCGTGATCGGGGATGCGCCCCTCGTCCATCTCCATCACCTCGAGCTGGGAGGAGAACAGCATCGCCAACACCTCGCCGTCGATCTCTCGCATGGCGCGCTGGAAGTCCTTGTCGCGCGCGTCCTCGACGAGCGCGGCGAGCCATGGGGTCATCCTCACCGGGACGAGCGCGTCGCGGCGCCACGCGTCGAAGTCGATAAAGAGCTGGATTTGCTCGGGGGATGCGAACGGTACGAGATCCACGCCCTGATCCCAGCCCGCCTCCTTGATCAGTTGATAGAGGACGTTTCCAGGAAGCGCCTTGATGTAGGCCTCGGCGTCGACGCGCTCCATGATGGCGTCGATCTTTTCGACCGGGTTCCCATCGGGAAGCATCGTGCCGAGCGTGCGAGTGATGGAAGACATGCGTGCTCCTCTTGCTCTTTGTTCCAGGCATCGCGAAAGCCGGGTGCGGTGGGCGACAACCGCGTTTGTCGCCCACCGCACCCCGCCCGGCTTTCGCCGCGAAGCGCCAGGACGTGAGTGACCTCACGTCCTGCTCATTGATTGTGCTTGTGCCAGTCGTTGATGTAGTGATGTAGTAGGTCAACAGCACGGGCTCGATAAGTCGGTTGATCTTGACCTCGCGCTCGCCGACATCGCGCGGGAAGTGAAGCATCGCCACGAGCCCGTCGGTGTCCACGTATTTCGCGTCGGGCACCTCGAGCTTCCACTTCGCCGGTTCGAGCGGTTGCTTGCTCGCGAGGTTAAAGCCCCAATCACCAAACGAGGGGATCCAGGTGTGGTAGGGCACGACGTGCTGATCCTCGCCAGCGCATCCTTTCTCATCGGGGCAAAACGCCGCCTCGATCGTGCGGTGGATCGACCAGAATGAATTGGGCGCGAAGTACACCGCCGAGGACTGCGTGACCATGACCCCGTTATCCTGCAGGCGGTTGCGGATCAACCTGTAGAACTCCACGCTGTAGAGCTTGGAGAGCGACTCGTTGTTGGGATCGGGGAGGTCGATGATGATCACGTCGAATCGCTTCTTGGTGTCCATCACGTAGTTCATCGCGTCGTCGTTGACGACCTCGAGGCGCTCATCGTCCATCGCGCCTCCGTTGATACGGCGCAGCGTGGGGTGCGACTTGGCAAGCTCGGTCATGCGCGGATCGAGGTCGACCATCACGATCTCCTCGACCTCCTTGTAGTGCTCGCGAAGTTGCTTGACGACGAGCCCGTCTCCTCCGCCAAGAATGAGCACCTTGCGCACATTCGGGACGAGCGACATCGGCACGTGCACGAGCGCCTCGTGGTAGCGGTATTCATCCACGCTCGAGAACTGGATGTTGCCGTTGATATAGAGGCGATAGTCCTTGCCGCGCCACGCGGTCATCGTCAACTTCTGGTAGGGCGTCTGCTCGCGATAGACCACCGGGTCCTGAAAGAGGCGCTTGTCCAAAAAGCGCTCGTAGGCGCCGCTCGTGAAGAAGATCGAGCCGAGCAGGATCGCGGCGAGCACCACGCCGATGGTGAGCGTCGCGCGGTTCTTGAGCTCCTTGCGGAACGCGTAGAGTCCCATCCCC